ATCCACATTTGATTATGAATTTTGAGATAGACTCAATTGAAATTGAAAGGATGAATCAAACCCAATCGAAAGGGAAACCATTGCTTTTGGCCCAGTTTGCAAAAGACCAAACAAAACCTCTCTTTTCTTTGTTTTCTTTCATCTTAAATTCTACAAATTTAACTAAAAATCCTAATTAGATTCTTATTTAATTCTAATTTGCAAAATAACTTACTCACTATTTCTAATATTTAAATAATTAATTAACCTAAAACTAATGAAAGAAAATTAATAATTAAAAACTAAAAGCTAAAAATATAAGAGCCCATGGTATTTTTGTGATTTTTGTTTAATAATATAATTAATTCGTGTAATTAAATTTTAAATGCAATTAAGATCTAAAATGCTATGCAATGAAGAAATAAATATTTTTTGGTATTTTTCATGACTTTAAAATATTAAAAATGCACAAAATGTAACTAAATGCAAACAAACAATTACAGGGGAATTCCTAAAATTCTATAACATTAAAACTATTAGAAAGATTTATTTTTTGTTAATTTTGTAGGAGTTTTTTCATCGGGCAAAAATTACGTGCTTACAGCTGCCCCTCTTTGCTCGAAAACATAAAGAGTTTTCGGGCAAAGATAAAGTGAGCAATTATGAGCAATTTTTGCCCGTTTGATACTCCATGGGAAGCATTTTGAATATTTTTGACTGAACCTTGCTTCGGAGGTTGCTTACATATCCTTGGCTATAAAGGAATCAGGTCAGTGTAGTTCTAGGAATTTTGGTAGCTGGGACTACCGAGAAACTGTGATTTTACTGCCGTTACTGTTGTTACTTCTTGCTGAGCTCCTTATTACACCAAAATCAAAAATGAAAAGCAACAAAACAAGCCTATCAACTATGAGTTACAAGATTTCTATCTATAAGTCTTCTGAAGCTTGATCTTGAGTCTTGGTTTGTTCCTTACGCAGACTCTGACCTGAATCTTGATGTTTGCTAGCTGCAGGTGCTAGTTCATTCTTCTACGGCTTTTCTTCATCAAAACGAGACATGCAATGCTCGTGACTTCAATGCCTTGAGCAGTCCACATCTTTTCATCCGCTACTGCATTTTGGATTAACTTCTTTTCTTTTTCTTTATTCTGGATTGAGACCTCTTCTTTTGTTCATGTTGAACCCTGTGCCTCGAGGTAAAACCTACTCAGACACCAAAATAAAAGAACGAACGAAATTTTTCTGCCCCAGTTTTCACTAGGAAAATTTTGTGAGTTATTTGTAACAAAACTCTATACTATTTTATTATTGAAAGCAAATACAATATCGGGATTGGTGTACCCTGAGAAAACAAAGACTAAGGAGTGGACACCCTATGTCTAAAATAAAAGCAACTAGAGAGTGGAGACCCTATGTTGGAAAAGAGACTACGGGGTGGAGACCCTATGTCTGAAAATATCTTCAACTAGGGAGTGGAGACCCTAGGTTGGAAAATGAAACTAGGGAGTGGAGACCCTATGTCTAAAATAAAACACCAACTAGGGAGTGGAGACCCTATGTTGGAAAAGAGACTAGGGAGTGGAGACCGTATGTCTAAAATAAACATCAACTAGGGAGTGGAGACCCTATGTTGGAAAAGAGACTAGGGAGTGGAGACCCTATGTCTAAAATAAACATCAACTAGGGAGTGGAGACCCTATGTTGGAAAAGAGACTAGGGAGTGGAGACCCTATGTCTGAAAAAATATCAACTAGGGAGTGGAGACCCTATGTTGGAAAAGAGACTAGGAATGGAGATCCTATGTCTAAAAATAAACATCAACTAGGGAGTGGAGACCCTATGTTGGAGAAGAGAATAGGGAGTAGAGACCATATGTCTGAAATAAAACGTCAACTAGGGAGTGGAGACCCTATGTTAGAAAAGAGACTAGGGAGTGGAGACCCTATGTCTAAAAATAAAAATCAACTAGGGAGTGGATACCCTATGTTGGAAAAGCAGACTAGGGAGTGGAGACCCTATGTCTAAAATAAAATATAAACTAGGGAGTGGAGACCCTATGTTGGAAAAGAGACTAGGGAGTGGAGACCCTATGTGTAAAAATAAAAATCAACTAGGGAGTAGAGACCCTATGTTGGAAAAATAAACTAGGGAGTGGAGACCCTATGCCTAAAATAACTTTAACTAGGGAGTGGAGGCCCTATGTTGGAAAACGACTAGGGAATGGAGACCCTATGTCTAAAATAAAACATCAACTAGGGAGTGGAGACCCTGTGTTGGAAAAGGAGACTAGGGAGTGGAGACCTTATGTCTAAAAATAAAGTCAACTAGGGAGTGGGGACACTATGTTGGAAAATGCAGCTAGGGATTGGAGACCTTATACTAACACGATTGTGAACTTTCTTTCTTTTCCTTCTTTCTTCTTTTCTTTTTAATTTTATTTAAGAGAATGAGTAAAATGCGGGAAAGAACTTGGAGAAAACTTCCCTTTTGGGGTTATTGTTGTTGCAGAGCTATTTTAGTCTCTGCGCGCTTTCTTTTTGGTTGCACCTGCTTCTTGCAAAGTTGTTTTGGATTGCACCTGTTTCCTGTGGTTCAAAAAAATAACAATTGTCAGTTTGAAACGTTGGTTGGTTTTGCGGCCTTGAGTGTTTCAATCACTTGATCTTGGCTGGCTTCTTTGATGTCGATTTCAACTACAACTGGTTGTTTCCTAGAGACCGGTTTCATTTCTTGCTCTAGAGAAACCTTTGGATTTTCCAAACTTTACCATGATGGTTAGTCACGTTCAACTTTATTTTGCCTTTGTGGGCATTTGACTTTTATTTTCTTCTTTCAAGAGTTTTTGATTTCGAAGCATCGGCCACCATGGCCAGTCGGAGTCGACTTGATGCCCCTGCCGAGGCTGGGTGCCTTTTTCGCATATTAGCTCGTATCAAGCGATAACCTTGTAAATTAGTCTTTCCATCCCTTCTCTGTCTTAGTTTCGGAACAGAGTTAAACCGAAAGGGGCTCAAAGAAAAACAGACAATGGAATGGACAAATGAATTTAGACGAAAGGTATCCCTTTCAGAGAAAAGAAAGAAGGACTTATCTGGAGTGCATGCAGACTTCAATGAACATGACATGCCTCTTGGACTAGATGTCCGATCTGTGTAAACCGTTCAACTCTCAGAAATTTATCACAACTTATGCCTCAAAATCGAGAAACCTTGTCGGGACTCTATCGAATACCGATGGCTGTAAGGATCCTCTTTTCGATCAGTGGCGCCCTTTGTGGGTTTTCACCAACTGACCTCTCTCATTTCTCTTTCACCATCGCCTTATAGTGCTCTTTGCGAGTTTTTACTAACAAGACTCTCTCATTTCAATTTCTCTACTTACCATCGCCTTACGGTGCCCGTGAGGGTTTTCACCAATAAGACTCTCATTTTATTTCTCTCATTTTGTTGTATCAGATCCAAGTAATCGCATCCTCCAACTTGAACATCTTTGCCGACCGATCGGAAGGACTTGAAAATGATTTGGGTTAATGGAATTCGGATTGAATTACAACTTTGGAACCTTTCAGACAAACTCATCGCCGAATCATTATAACTTCTGCCCCAATTTCAACTTTGGGGAAATGTTGATTTTTGTTTTGGTGTTGCTGAACCCCAATGAGAGGCTGCCTACGTATCCTTTCGGAATCAAGTCGAACGTAGTTCAAGGGACTTATGTTTTTGATTTCTTTTGTTTTCTTTCTTTTTATTTTCTCTTTTTTTCATAACACTTTCAGGTTCCAAAGAGGGTAACCAAAGAAAAAGGGAACCGGCTCAAAGGGTTTGCAAGGATTGGTAGTGTTTGGGGTAGTGTGAATGAAAGCATTCGTCATCCTAATAAGAGAGCATTAAAGCTGCGTAAAAGGGTCAAACATAATACCTTTTGACCGCATATGCATTGACAGTTGCTTCTGGGTCATTTCCTTCAATGTCTCCCAAATACAGCGCTCCTTTCGGCAACACTCTTCTTATAATTTACGGACATTTCCAATTTGGAGAAAATTTTCCTTTTGCTTCTTCATGATGCGGGAGAATACATCTCAGAACGAGTTGCCCCAGTTCGAATTTCCTGGCAAACTGCGGCCATCTGATTTTCTTCAATCATAGTTTATTGTTCCAACCGGGTCTTGACCCATTCATCATCTTCGATCTCGGCTTTAACAATGATTCGAAGAGAGGGAATCTCAACTTATGCAGGTATTATGGCTTCAGTGCCATAAACCAATAAATATGGCGTGGCCCCAACTGATGTACGTACGGTGTGATATCCCAGTAGTGCAAAGGCAGTTTTTCATGCCTTTGTATAGAACTTATCATTTTCCTGAGGATCTTCTTGATATTCTTGTTTGCAGCTTCAACAGCACCATTAGCTTTGGGCCGATAAGGGGTAGAGTTACGATGCATAATCTTAAATTGTTCGCGTACCTCCCTCATTAAATGGCTGTTCAGATTCGCAGCATTATCGGTAATGATAGTTTTAGGAATACCAAGCCGACAAATAATGTTGGAATGCACAAAATCCACCACCGCTTTCTTGGTAACGGCTTTGAAAGTGACTACTTCGACCCACTTTATGAAATAATCAATGGAAACCAGGATGAATCTGTGCCCATTTAAAGCTTTCGGCTTGATTGGCCCAATGACAACCATATCCCAGGCAACGAACGGCCAAAGTGCTGACATAGGATTCAACTCTGAAGGCGGTGCATGAATGAGGTCACTGTGTATCTGACACTGATGGCACTTTCGGACAAAACTAAAGCAATCTTTTCCATAGTCATCCAGTAAAACCTGCCCAGAGGATTCTCTTTGCAAGGACATATCCGTTCATGTGAGGCCCACATACTCCCGAATGAACTTCGTTCATGATCTTTTTAGCTTCTCGAGCATCTACGCACCTCAAAAGACTCAAATCTAGATTTCTTTTGTACAAGACCTATCCACTCAAAAGGAAACTGCTGGCAAGCCTTCCGATAGTTCTCTATTGATCTCTACTGGCCTGCTCGAGATATTCGTTTGTTTTCAAAAATCTTTTGATATCATGATACCATGGCTGAACATCTAGTTCTATTTCAATTGCATTACAATAATCGTGCCTTTCTCGAATTTGGATTTCCAGCGGGTCAATATAGACATTTCTCGGATAGGGTAGCATTGAGGCCAAAGTAGCTAATGCATCAGCTAACTCATTGTGGAATCGAGGAATAAACCTAAACTCGACGGACTTGAACCGTTTGCTGAGATCTTCAACATGTTGCCTGTAAGGGATAAGCTTGATGTCTCGAGTTTTCCATTCACCTTGGGCTTGCCGAATGATAAAATTAGAATCTCCCATGATTAACAATTCCTCCACATCCAGATCAACTGTCATATTCATGCCCATAATGCAGGCTTCATACTCAGCGGTGTTGTTTGTACAGAAGAATCGAAGCCTGGTTGTGGCTGGTTAGTGTTGACATGTGGGCGAAATCAAAATTGTCCAATCCCGACACCTTTTGCATTTACAGCTCTATCAAAGAACATTTTCCAAGGGTTAGTGTCCTCTGAAATTACTTCAATCGAGTTTACTTCCTCATCCGAAAAGTAGGTACTTAGGGGTCGGTACTCATCATCAACCGGGTTCTCAGCTAGATAATCCGCCAAGGCTTGGGCTTTCATTACCGTGAGCAGGATTTGCCATTTTGACAACCTCCCCGTGGGCATTGGTTTCTGGAATATGTACTTCAGAGGATCCATTCTGGTTATGAGATATGTGGTGTAGGCCAACAGATAATGTCTGAGCTTCTAGGCGATCCAAGTTAGGGCGCAACAAGTTCTTTCCAACAATGTGTACTTAGCTTCATAGCTGGTGAATTTCTTGCTCAGTTAGTATATGGCTTGCTCTCTCTTTCCGGTCACATCATGTTGCCCGAGGACACAGACGAAAGAATTTTCCAAGACTGTCAGGTACAAGAACAAAGGTCTTCCTGGTTCAGGTGGAACCAATACTAGCGAATTTGACAGATATACTTTGATTTTATCAAAAGCTTCTTGACACTCATCTATCCATTTGATCGACGCGTCTTTCTTTAACATTTTGAATATGGGTTCACAAGTGGTAGTGAGCTGCGCAATGAATCTGCTAATGTAATTCAATCTCCCTAGCAGACTCATGACCTCTTTCTTGGTTCTCGGAGGTGGCAAATCCCGATAGACTTTATCTTTGTCGGATCTAACTTGATAACCCTCCGGCTGACTATAAACCCCAGAAGTTTCCTAGATAGAACTCCGAATGCACATTTAGCTGGATTCAATTTCAAGTCATACCTGCGCAGAAGCTCAAAGAACTTTCTCAAATCCTGCACATGGTCTTCCTGCGTTCTAGATTTAATGATCACATCATCCACATACACCTCAATTTCCTTGTGCATCATGTCGTGGAAGATTGCAGTCGTGGCTCGCATGTAGGTTGCCCCGACATTCTTCAGAACAAATGGCATGACACTGTAACAGTAAGTGTCCCACGGTGTGGTGAAAGTTGTCTTTTCTGCATCGTCTTCATCCATCAGAACCTGGTGGTACCCAGCACAACAATCCACGAAAGACTGTATCTCGTGTTTGGCACAATTGTCAACAAAGATATGAATATTTGGCAATGGAAAATTGTCCTTGGGTCTTTCCTTGTTCAAATCCCGATAGTCAACACACACTAGGGTTTTCTCATCTTTCTTCGGCATTGGAACCACATTATCTAACCATGTGGTGTATCGGACTACACGAATCACACCAGCTTTTAATTGTTTGGTGACTTCTTCTTTGATCTTATCACTGATGTCCGTTTTAAACTTTCTTTGCTTTTGTTGGACGGGTGGATAACCGGGATAAGTTGGAAATTTGTGTACCACCAAATCAACACTCTGCCCTGATATATCATCATAGGACCATGAAAACACATCTTTGAACTCAAACAAAAGTTGGATCAATGCATCTCTAGTTCTTTTATCTGCGTGAATGCTTATCATGGTTTCCCGGACCTCTTCTGGACTGCCCCAAATTAACTAGCTCGGTTTCATTTAAGTTTGGCTTAGTCTTATTCGCAAATTATTCCAGTTCTCGATTTATTTCCCTAAAACCCTCATCTTCGTCATATTCTGGTTCTTGATTCATTATGTCACAGTTAGACAATATTTTAGGATCTGGGCATGAAGTCTGCAAGCATGTCATGTTATTTAAGTCCGCATTATTAGAACTGAAAAAGAAAAAGATAAGAAAAACAACAAGAATCAGAATAAAGAAAAAGAAGAGATCCATTGACGATGAAATATTGATTTCATTTCTTTGAATTGAAGATATGAGGGTATCGAAATCAAAAGACAATAAAGTAAAAACATTCGAGTTACACCCTGAAATAACTCGTAATGTAGAAAATATGGCAAGACAGGACTACCGGGATTCCCGCCTGACAGGGAATGGAGTAGCCTTCCAATTCTGAAGCTTAGCATTTGGTTCCATGTACAGCACCTCAGCAATGCTCGTGCCTTCCCCCGGCTGGACCATGTGAGACTCATACAACATTTGTTTTATGTCTTCACAAATATCCTCAATCTCTCCGGCCGTGAAGGCCTCTTCTTCTTCTTCTTCTTCTTCTTCTTCTTCTTCTTCTTCTTCTTCTACATACTTGGGTTTAACAAATGACTTGGCGAGATGCGGAATGGAATGGGGTAGGACACACCCATTTTCCTTGCGCTCATCAGCCCATTTTCTATCGGTATTTATAGCTTGGAAACCTACGCCGAAGAACTTCTCATTGGCGATCAAAGTGATAGGCTCAGTGATGCCTTGTAAAGATACCCCGAGCCCCTTTCTGGGCTTGTACCCATGTCGAATCATTTTAGTGGCGACCATCACCGAGGCATTAGATAGGCAAGGTTGAGGGAATGGGGCCCGTTCTTCGCATTGGTCGGCGGCCATAATTTCAAAAGCTTGGTATATAATGTGCTCACTTCCTTCTCTAGCTTCGAGACTCGGGACTGAAGGGTCCCTGTAAATGGATTGTTCGTTGATCGGCTCCAACCCTATACCACTATAAAATGGCAAGAGTGGTCGATGCAGCTTTTACCCGAGGGGTCGGGATCGATTTCCACAAAGAGCTAATATTAGTTTGGAATTAGGCTTCTATCTAATCTAGCTATGTGCATTGTTCTTAGTTGCACTTCCAATAATGCTTTGTTTGGTTTCTATTCTACTTTTAACACTAATGAAGGATGAAAATAATCTAAGTACAATATTTTTTTTGTAAGGGTTTTCTAATTGGTAAAAAGGCACTAGAGAAGTGACTTACACCTAGGTGAGTATCTAACGGGGTCTAAAACTTAGGGCAAACTTGTTATAATTGGGATCATGATATAACCAATACACATAATTACTCACTCTATACCTCTCGGTAGTTTGAGTGACTTTGCCCTAATTGGCTTTCTCAAGCCCAATTGGGTGTTCAAACAATGCAAGCAAAATTGGCTCAAGTCGGGTATTACTATCTCTAGGTTTAACCCTTTAATTGGGGCTATAAATCTCTTGAATGCACCCCAATTCCTTGTTAGCCTGAATTTCCTAGACTTAGTCTCTCTTTCTGAAGAAGAGTCTAAGTCAAATAGGCACGAATCAGTGTTTGCAACCACCAATTCAACAATTAAAGCATGAAACAAGCTAAATATCATTAACCCATAAACAATTAAGCCCTAAAATCGAAGACCCATTAAATACCCACACTAGTGTTAGGTCACAACCCTAGCTAATGGGTTTAGCTACTCATAATCAAGGAAGAAATCAAAGGAGAAGATGAAATATAAGCCATAAAAAGTAATTACAAGAGTAAAATCTAAGATTAATAGTTAACAATGCTCTAAAATTACTCTAAAAGGCAAAAAGTGGCTATTCACGTGCTCCACAAAACAAAAGATACCCTAAAAATCTGAAAAAGAACTATTTATATACAGCTAAATTTTCTGAACAAAATTGCCCCTACAGAGATTCTGCTGACAGCGAAAAACTGGTCGCCTCAGCGCTTAGACTTCCGCGGCCGCACAAAAGCAAGCGCGGACCGTGGTTCTTCTCTTTTGAGCATGGTCTGGACTTGATTCCGCTGGGAGCGGAAAAGCAACCGCCTCAGCGCTATCTTCAACCGCGGCCGCGAAATATGTTCGTGGACCGCGCTTTTCAATTGAGCTCCAATCTCTAGTCCTTCGATTCTCAATTCCGCTGAGGGCAAAATTTGGACCGCGTCCGCGTCGGGTAATTCCGTTGCCGCTCAATTTCACCGCGGGCAGCAGTGTCTGTTGAGCCAAAATTGTTGTCTCTGAACCTCTAGTCCACTGAGAGCGTAATTAAGAACGCCTCAGTGGTGGACATTCCGCGACTGCACTATTTCTTCGCTGTCAGCGCTTTTGGCTCAGCTTGAACTTGTGCAGGTTTCACTCCTTTATGAGCTGGATATGACTTTCTTGCAACTTTTTGACCAAACTGCAAACAAGCATAATAAGTTAGCTTTCGGGAATGCTTGTACACATTTTTAATCTAAAACCTAAGCAAAAGGGACCATAAAATAGGCTAGAATTCCTAGTTATCAACTCCCCCAAACTTAAGCTTTTGCTTGTCCTCAAGCAAACAAAGTAGTTCCACCTCCTCAAGATAAAAGAAAGGAAAATTTTAGTTGTCCTAAGGTGACCTCATCAAGCATCAATTGGGACTAACAATTACCCTCAACTCAAATACATTATTAACAACACACAACCTTTTTAGCACCATGGCTATAGTGCGACACAAAAGCATCAAGAGTTGACTCAACTCATCAAGGAAACTTTTTCTAATACATTGGTCATTGTGGAACCCAAACTCATACTCCTCGACTCTCCATATGCAAACCTCACTTTTAGATTGTAGCACTCAGAACGAGAATTGTGGAAAATACACTCATCTCTCTCAAAGGAAGGTCACAAGTCCGGCTCTAAGTACCATAAGCTTGCGCCTTATGTGAGTCACCACTAATGTAAGCTCACTCAACTCGAAATCAAATAGGGCTTTTGTGGGAATGTAGTGAAGGCTTTTGGTTCAAGGTAGGATATATCGGTCTATGTAGGTTTCATCTTTCCTTAAGCACTTCATTTTCTTCATTTTGGCTCATATTTTCTTGACTCTTTGAGTCATTTACTTCTTCCCTGGGGGACTAGATAGCACATTGTCACTCTTTCTTGTTCATGACAATCTTTTTTCTCCTTTCTAATCATTCCAAACCTTTCATCTTTTCTTTCATTGACTCCCTTCATTTTTCTACGTTGTTCACTTTCTTTTTGACTTTTTGGCTTTTCTTTCTTTTTCTTTTTGCCTTATCACTTT